TGTGGAAACTACAGAACAATCTCACTGATTTCACATGCAAGCAAGATTTTACTGAAGATTATCCAAAAATGACTGGAACAGCACATCAACAGAGAACTACCAGAAGTCCAGGCTGGGTTTAGAAGGGGTCGTGGTACTAGAGATATTGTAGCTGATGTTAGATGGATCTTGGCTGAAAACAGGGAATACCAGAGGAATGTCTATCTGTGTTTCATTGACTATGCAAAGGCATTTGACTGTGTAGATCATAACAAACTATGGCTGACTCTGAGAAGAATGGGAATCCCAGAACACTTGATCGTTCTAATGCGAAACTTATACTTGGACCAGGAGGCAGTCGTCAGAACGGAGCAAGGGAACACTGCATGGTTCAAAATTGGGAAGGGCGTACGCCAGGGATGCATCCTATCTCCATACCTTTTCAACCTATATGCAGAACAGATTATCCAGGAGACTGGGCTCTATGAAGAGAAATGTGGGGTCAAGATTGGTGGACGATTTATCGACAACCTGCGTTATGCGGATGACACAACCCTGCTTGCTGAAACTGAAGAGGACCTGAAGCTCCTGCTGCAGAGTGTCAAGGACTGCAGCCTACAATATGGATTGAGGCTCAATGTCAAGAAGACAAAGATTCTCACCACTGGACCAATTGGCAGCATCAGGATGGATGGTGAAGAGATTGAGATTATACACAGCTTTAGTTTGCTTGGCTCTGTAGTCAACAATCTTGGCACCAGCATCCAGGCAATTAAAAGGCGCATTGCCATGGGAAAGTCTGCTGTTAGGGACCTCTCCAAAGTACTGAAGAGCAATGGTGTCTCTCTGGAGACTAAGGTGCGTCTGATACAGGCTATGGTCTTCACAATCCCTTGTTATGCATCAGAGAGTTGGACAATGACCAAGGAGGATAGAAGGAGAATTGATGCCTTTGAGCTATGGTGCTGGAGAAGAGTACTGAGAATACCATGGACTGCTAGCAAAACAAACAGATTTGTCCTGGAAAGGGTAAAACCAGGCTGCTCCTTGGAGGCAAGGATTCTGAGGCTCCGTCTAACATACTTTGGACATGTTGTGAGGAGAGACCGGTCCTTAGAGAGGGACATCATGCTTGGGAGGGTGGAGGGACGGCGCAGGAGAGGAAGGCCCTCTATAAGGTGGATTGATTCAGTGACTGGGACAATTGGGATGGGAGTGTGAGAGACAGTGCGATTGGCACAGGACAGAGTGGAGTTTAGGGCTGTTGTACATAGGGTCGCTATGAGTCGCAAGCGACTCGACAGCACATAACAACAACAACTGTCAAATCAGATCTGACTGGTACAGGAGGGGATTGTCCCTCCTTCCCCGGCAGAGGATCTGGTGGATTTGAACCGTGGGCCTCTGGGATTGCAGTGCAGCCTCTTGCCACTAGGCCACCAGAGCTCCAAGGCACTCCATCAGCTCTCTCCCTTTGAAATGCCATCCCTTCTAAGTGCCTCACTGGTAAATGAGGGCTGAACACACAGCAGGAAGCAGATGGGGCCCTGGGGTGGGCAGTAGTGGGGTGAAAACACATGAAGTTAGAGGTTAATGTGAAACAACACAACCTCAGATCAGATATGATCTCTCAGTCTCCCCCCTGCAGTTCCAGCAGCAATGAGTTAGTGAGAAAGGCACTCCCTGTGATAAGAGGGAGACACACAACGAAGAATTGTTGGGCTCCAGGCCACGTCCTGTTCACACTTCATTTCTCCTCCTCAAGCCATGCTACCCGTCACTCCCACCTCCAACCCAGATCCTCAATTCTAGGCTTCCTAAGCTGTTTTCTCTGCTTGGGTTGATATTTTTCATCATATCTTCACATATCCAACTGTAACTCATATTTAGAAGTATGGCTAATACCTCATCTTTCCCATGCAGTCTTCCCTGCATCCTATGGATGGAATAAAGAGCTAATGTCCTTACTACTAGTACTTCCAGATAAGATGGAGGGACAGTGGGGATGGAATGACATGTTTCAGATGTTTTATAATAACAATGAAAGAACTTTTACTTTTCAAAGAGAAAAGGGAATTGAGAGGAAGGGGTGGGCAAGGAGAAAGTGCAACAATGAATGAATGGAATTAACAAACAAACAAACAAACCAGGAGACCTGGATTGATTTGGAATTTAATGAAATCTTCCTTAGAAACTCATGTGACTTCTAGTCTTTTCAAAGAAAAAAAATTTCTACTTCTACTCAGATGTGTCCGTTGCAGGTCCAAAACTTGCCCCTGGCTTCTGAGAACACTACACCGTGGAGGGAGCATTGATTTTCTTTTTTGGACTGAACAATGTCCATCCAAGAGGCTTCCTACTAAAATGCTCAAGCTCCAACATCTTTCTGCCTTATGGTAATTTACAAATGCAAAGAACAAGAAGAGCAGTGCCTAAGCAGTCAGAATTACTTACTAAATTTCTAGAGAACTCCCTTCTAAATAAAGCAAAAAGTGGGTGGAGGGAAGAGGGAAAGGAAATGGGAAGGACCTGGGTGAAAAGACAAGGTAATGATGGACAAGGTCCAATGGCGATTAATTTTATAAAACATAATACATGAGAATGATTGTATGAAGCACAATTATAAAACAAAATACCTAAGAACGAATTGTATGGAGCACAATATTGAATGAGGAATAGTGCTGAACACAATATATATGAACTTTGAAAGCAAACCATTATTTTATTTTCGTTTTTTAAAGGGCGTGGCCTAAAGCTGAAGCTATCCCAGGCAAGAACTCTAACTGGCTGGGCTGGAATTCTGGTCCACCACTTACTGACTGTGCTCTTTCAGAAAGCCTCTTATTCTTTCTATGCCTCTGTTTCCTGGTTTGTAAAGTGGCAAAATAAGACAACCAACCTCAGGTGCAATAATTACGTGTACAGGATTTGTCATTATTGTTTTCTGCACAGTGTATTTGCAAAGGGGTCTGGGGTTGACCTGACCACGCCTCCACAAGTCCAATCCTCATTTTGAACCTGGTACCAGAAACCCACCTTGTTGGGGCATGGCAATGAATCCAGTTCAGTTCTCCTGTTTCCAAGCTCTAGTTAGCATGTGGCCAATTTTGGCCAGTGAAGTACAATCAGAAATCTGTTGCGATTTCTGCGAAAATGTTTACTTTCTTGGTAAAAAGGAGCAAGTAGAGGCTGTTGTCCACACCGCATTCCCTCTTCTTGCAGACCTGGATAGACAAGCGATGTCTGCACTGTGGCCATTTTATCAGAAGCAGTGCTCAAGGGTCATGGAGAAGAAGTGCCTGAGTCCCTGACGGCAGGATGGGACGAATGAATAAAAGCTGACAACTAGTTATCTTGCCCTTGTTGTTGTGGTTATGTGCCATCAGATCAACTACGACTCACAGCGACTCCATGCAAATAGCTCTGAACCCTGTTCTATCCTGAGCCCATCTCCTTGTCTCTGATACATGTTCCCTCATTGCCCCAGTTACTGTGTTACTCCATCTCATCTAAGGTCTTCCTTGACTATTTTATTTTGGATTTCTGGTTAATCATAGCAGGGCACTGCTAAACGAAACAGAAGCCCAAAGCCCCTTCTATTTAATGGCCTCTGCAAAAACACAGCACACCTGGAATCAGTTCATCTGCTTCTATAAAGTGATTTTTTTTTTAAAAAAAAAATGGGATCAAGTGCTACAGGGCCTACCACAAAACTCATTTTTTTTTTTTTGCTTTTCCAAATGAAATTTAAAGAGCGATACTAAATAGGGTGCTGTAAATGTTTACTGCACTTGTCTGCTGACTAAAAAGGATGGAGGTTCGCATCTACCCAGATGCACTTTGAAGAGGGTGGCAGTCTATTTCTGAAAAACAAAACAAAAAAAACCCAAGAACAGTAATTGAAAATTCTAAGGAACAATTTTACTCTCACACACCACAAAGGGTTACCATGAGTCAGTAATGACTTAGCAGTGGGTCTGGTACACCAAAGAATGATCAGAGCACAACACAAACGTGTATAAAGACATAGTGAGAGGGCCTTGGAGCTGCAACTCCCAGAGCTGGAAAGTGAGCTGATACAAGTGCTTCTAGATAAAAAAAACCAACAACAACAACAAAAAAAACAAAAACAAAAAACAAAAAAAACACACCAAAATAAAACAAAACACTTCCTCAAGAAGCCTGCCGAGGATGGCCCTCAGGGTGACCAGAGAAAACAGCAGCTGACACAGCCAAGTCATGTAACCTGTCTATTTCACTGCTCACTTACAAAAATCACAGGGCTGGTTCGGAATTAGGAATGCTATTGCAGTCACACTGCATTTATTCAGTGCTGCTTAAATGAGCCAAATGGTTGGATTTGACGATTTCCTTGGCCTTTCCCCTCACCCCCCATCATCCCTTCCCTAGACCCTACTCCCCTCCCCAAAGCAGGGAAGAAACGGGAAAAACAAGCTTTTAAATCAGAATGCATTCCCTTAAGAAAGCAAAACTGAGAAAAGACACAATGATGGAGAGAGGCAGATGATTATGAAACACAACAGGAGTGTATCCTAGGCCTCGCCCCACATGGCTCGCTGCGCTTGGCACCAATGAGCGCCTCTCCACTTCTCCCAGCTCACAGGAGCCGAAATGCAATCACTTTGCATCTTTCAGGCAGGTGACGACAGTAACTGGTCCTATGATCATCTGTGGAGAGGACAGCTTCTTCCATAACTAAGCGCCCCGCCCAGAGGCGGGCCGGTCTTCCCAGCGGAGGGTTAGGGCCCTGCAGGGTGCCCACAGCCTCTCTGGGCTGGGCCGGCTCGGGTCGGCTTCTGCGCACCCCAGCTTTCGCTGCCGCTATTCGCGCTTCACCGGCGCGCAGCTGGACACTCAGGGCCCCCTCTCCCGGGTGGTGACGCGGGCCTGGCTCCCCGCCCCAGGCCCAGGTCGCTTCTATCCCTGGGCCTGTTCTGTGTACCCGGCCTGGCGGCTGCGCCCCAACCCACGCCCGCAGCCCTCGCCCGGCCCGCACTCACGCTCCACATCGTGCAGCTTGGCCCGCTCCTCCTCCAGCTTGCCCTTCAGGATCTCGGCCTCGCTCTTCAGCGACGCCAGCGTCTCGCTCTCGTGCAGCCCGTCGGTTGCCATCTTCGCGCGGGGGCGCGGCGGGGAGGAAAGGCGAGAAAAGGGATGCGGTGAGCCGGCAAGCGGGCCGGGGTGGCGGGCGGCCGCGGGCGCAGCTCCAGCCCCGTCTCCCCCCAGCGCGGCCCCGCGGCCCCGCCCTCCGGGTGATGACGCGCCTACGAGCCTCGGCCTCGCCCGCGGGCACCCGCGCCCTCCGCTCCGAGCCCTCCGCACCTGCCGCTCGCTGCGCGCGTCCGGGCGCACTGCCCCGCGCAACGCCCAGGTTAACGCTGCTCTTCAGTCCTGCGGAGAGGCAGCACGTGTGGTGCCCATTTTACAGAAAGGGAAACTGAGGCCCTTAGATGACACAGAATCTGCCCGAGGACGCAAATGTAGTGAAGCTCAATTCAAACTCAAGACTGAGCAGCTTCTAGGGGGAACCCTGGTGAAGTCCCAATGACATAGCACCCCTTTCACCCCAAATCTCCCGTTAAGACTTGATACTCAGCCCAGAAGTCTCCTGCTTGTGGTGAGCAGATAGAAGAGAGGGCAGGGAGACTCTACTAGCCCTACTGATAATGCCTGTCACCAGGGCACCTTCCTCCATCTCTCTTCCTTCTCCCAGATGGAAACATTTTCTGTTACTGACTTAGATAAACAGAAATAAAACTATTTCTGGCTTCAGAACACTCCTGGGAACCCGAGGAGTTGGAAGCCCAGTTTTTAACTTTATTTTTCCTTTCTTTCCAGGGGAGTCAGGTTCCTGGCCTGAGGTCTGCAAAAGAAGGTGACCAAGGGACGTAGGATGGAGGAGACCCAGGAGCCTAGCCTGGAAACTTCCGAGCCCACAACCATTGATCCTGGACACATCGTTTCTGAAGCCGCTTGCCCACCCATGAAAGGTGGCTACCCCTCTTTACAGGAAGCAAATCTATTAACTTTATAGCACTCAAGCACACTCTTCCTTCCTACTCCCAATCTTCTGTAGTACCAGGAATGGACTAGGTATTTTAGTAAGAATTCCTTTGGACCTCACAACAATCACCCTAAGTGGGTACTATTATCATCTCTATTTTACAGATAAGGATACTGAAGTTTATTATCTTTTAGGGTCACATTGTGGCAAAAAGGCAAAGGCAGGATTTGAACCCAGCGGTCTGTCTTCGTTCTGCGTGAGTTTATGAACTTTGGTGGCCTAGTATGTAGAGTGACTCGGCTAACCCACAGGCCACACACCTCTGGTGGTTCTAATCCACTAGTGACTCCACGTGGGAGAAAGATGGCAAATCTCCTATACGATTTATAACCCCAGAAAACCGCTGAGGGGTCATCTATGAGTTGGTCGGCCCTTATTCAACCATAATGAATGAGTAAATGAGCAGTGATTGAGTAACCACTTAAAAGAACCCTCATCCTCTCCCTTCTTTTTGACCTTGCCTGTGTATGGAGTGGGAAAGCAGATCAAAGTTGCTATTCTAAATGAACATAAACAGATATTAAGTATCATCCCACCTTCTTTGTACCCTATCTTTGGGAAACATAGTCTTGACTTACTTTCCTGGATCCTGTTTACTTAGAAGAGTTAGAGGTAATCCCCAATAATGGAGCTTAGATTTGGAGACCTTCCATTCTGTTATCTGGAAAATGGGGCTACTATAAACTTCACAGGGCTGTTGTGAGAGTGAAATAAGTCTAAACCAACCCATCACTGACCCTCCAGCAGGCTTCTGAGGCTGTGAACGGCACAAGAGATAATGCTCATTAACAGCTAGTTCCCTTTTCCCTTTCCCGACTATATAAGTTTATTCATAACTTAGTTTCATAATTTATCATAACTAGCATATGGTAGGTACTCAATTAATGTTAGTTTATTAAATGAAATGCATAAAATTGAATATATAAAAGATGCATAAATTATGTAAAGAAAATTAGACAAATATATATTTTATATAAACATAGACAAATATATATTTTATATAAACATAGACATTTATTTATAGACATGTACAATACAAAATAGTACATCTGTTTCAGAATTTGTAGATCAAAAATTAAGAGCACAGGCTGAAGATCAGAGTGTCTGGGAAAAGTTCCTGGCTCCTGTGGATCTTAGGGCAATTTATCTAACTTCTCTGTGTCTGATGTTCTTTGTTAATGGGAATAACACTTTCCTCAAAGGGCCCTTAGATGAATGAATGTATTATTAAGGCTGTCTATTGCACCCCCAAAATTCCCCTAAAGTCGTTTAAACAAGGCACTACTAGGTCATGGGATCACTTCACCTAAGGATCATCTGCAGGTCCAGGCAAGGCAGCTTTCTCCCATCATATTCTCTCGTATCATACTCCATTGTGATTTGTGTGGGCTGCTTGGGGTCTGCCCATCAATGAAGATATAGGGTGGGTGGGACTCTGTAAAATCAACCCCAAACCTTCTCCACTCTAGAGATTCTATTGTCTAGAGATGGATGACAAAGCCATAGAACTTTTTAATGGCAGGACAAAGTTTGGTAAGTTCCTTCCCATATTTGGTTTTAGTTCTTTTTGATAAGAAAGGAAGGAAGCTGTGGATGATCATTGAAGTTTTCCACGTTTTAGCAGTGTCTGAATGAACAGGTCACCCCATCTATCAAAAAAATTCTGCTGAGGGCTGCAACTATACAAACCCAGACACTCAGCCCCCTCAGTCACTTAAATACCTCCTCAGCCAAGGCTGCTGTCTGAATATTTGTAATATTTTCTTCTAAAGGGTCACAGCCTTGACAATGCTATAGGACTGTTCTACTTTGTACACAAGGGGTCTCACTGAGTTGGAGTAGACTCGATTGCAACTGACAATAATTCTATAGTAGCAAGTGCTTGTGGTGGAAGCAGTCTTCAACAGTCCCCTGAAACTGCATTTCCAAGCAGAACCTGTGACATGGAGGAAATCTGTGATGCTAGAGCAACTCCCATGTCTTTGGTTCTGGGCTCTTCTGCCTACACAGAGAGTTGCTTAAAAACAAAACATCTGGATGAATAGACTACCTCAGGAGGGTAGAAAGCAAGGTTTAGTTACAGAACTAAATGCCCTCAGTTTTATAATTTTCAGGGCCAAGTTTAGAATAAAATGTATTGCCTGTAGCTGCCTGTAACACAGTCTGTGGTGACAAAAGAATGGCCGTGATGCATACAAAGCTTTAATGCCACCTGGTGCTCTCTATTCACCATTGGCTTTATGGGATTTAAAAAAAAATGTAGTCACTTTGCAGGATTAAAATAGCCCCAGAATATAGATTCTGCTTTTTCATCATCAGCTGGACAAAACAGAAATATCTTTTTTTTTTAATTGCACTGATAATGTAGGGTTTCTTGAAGGGCTTTGGGGAAAAATGCTTTACCGCCCCTCACCAGGTGGGGGCTCTGCTTAGCCAATTATACAGCTTTGCCAATCATCTGAAGTAGGATTAATTCCTAGGGTTGGTGAGATGCTGTGTGCATTCCCGCATCCCCCTCACCACGCCCAAGCTCTGAAGCCTGTGCATAGCCACCTCTGAAAAACACTTGATTTTGTAAACTTTGAAAAATTGCAGGATTTGTACTTAGTCCTTAAGCCCCGCTGAGGCTTATGCCCCAGGAGCATCTTCATTTTTAATTCACCTTCTCTGGCTCAGTATCTTCAATCAGAGAGCTGTTTCTGGGAACAGGTGGGGCAGAGCCCTTAGACAGGTGCTCCCTAGTTATTTAACAAAGAGTCTCCTTTAGTTAGATTGTTTTCCAAAAAGATTGGTCTAAGACAGGAGGGGGAAATCAGCCCTGTGAAATAATAATAATAGCTAAAACTCTCATTGAGGGCCTTCGGGGGGGGGGGTGTTCTGTAAGGTGTTGTACTGCTAACACAAAGGCAGTGCCCTCTCTGGTGGTTCGAATGCACCAGTTGCTCCCAGGGAGACAGATGCACAATCTCCTTGCATGGAAATTACAGCCTCCACAACCCCTCTGGAGGGTCAGCTGTGAGTCAGTTCTGACTCGACGGGAACGAGGCTGAGTAAAATATTCCCTGTCCTATGGTTGGTACTGTTTTAAATATTTTATTCAGTTTACCCATTTGTTTCCCATAAACCCCTGTGAAGCAAACACTATTGTTCTGCCCGTTTTACAAGCGTGATAAGAGCAATGCAAGGGCACCTCCATTAAGGGACACAATTTGGATTTGAATCCAGGTAGACAGGCGTCAGAGTCCACACTTGAATGCCAGGCTATTCTGCCTTGCAAAAGTTGGAGATGGGGACAAAGTGTATGTTTGTGTCAACTGAGTCTAGGCAACTCATCAGTCACAAAGCCCCTGTGTTAGACATCATTTGAAGACAGGATACTGCTTCAATGTTGAGAAAGTGGCACTTACTATTTCCGCACATACTGAACAGTAGCTGAGTTGTTGAGATTTCTTGAAAACTGGCCTCAGAGCCCTTTGTTTGAAACACTTGTCACAGGAGCCAAATACATTAACTAGAAAGGTCTGGTCACACATCTTCTACCGGAGAGGATGCTGAAAAGAAAGAAGAGCAGGGACGTGAAAAGAAATCAGGACCAGCTTGCTAAAATGCCATCCTTTTTATTATAGCAGTGTCATTTTCTTTATGTTAGGGCTCAGACATGGTCATGTGGGCTAAAGTTTGGGCAGTTCATTTCTAACCTTTGTTTTATCACAAGCTGCTGAATCAACACTAGCTCATTTATTTAAACAGTGAGAAAAACATCAGAAAACGGGTTTTCTGAATTTATCACCTTTGACAGTTTGCTGTGGCAGCTTGTGGACATGTTCACAGAGACTGCTGCAGTTAAGGATCAAGCCTGTAATATTTCACAATGGAAACCCTGCTTCGTAACGGATATTGCAATTTAAGGCAGTATGCACTACTTCCTACGACTTTATTGATCTTGTTGTTGTTGTTATGTGCCATCGAGTTGCTTGCGACTCATAGCGACCCTATGTACAACAGCCCTAAACTCTGCTCTGTCATGTGCCAATCTCATTGTCTCCAACACACTCATCCCGACAATTGCCCCAGTCACCGAATCAATCCATCTCCCA